GAAAACCTTTAGCTGCTGCTACATGAGCGTTCTTGGCATTTTTACATTATTTTGGTGTTTATTGCTTTATTTTTCCCTTCATATACTTTTAGTTTAATTTATTCATCTACTCCTTTTCTGTTGTTGCACTCCAAAAATAATAAAAGCATGTCTGTTTTAACTTCAGATGGTTGGCTCTAACTCCTACCTTTGCTTTTTTTCGCCATTTCGGAAGATATACCGTAAATCCTCTAATATATGACAGGGCCTTTATTTCACTCAGGTACATCTTGGTCCAGGCCATTATTGGAAGGCGGCCAGAATTAGAGCCATGTCTCTGTTTCTATTTGATCAAAACAGAATACCAGTTGAATGAATAAAAACAAGATTTTGTGTCTCTTTGAACCTATAAAATACTAGGTTCATTTATTGAAAAAACACAGTTACCATAACGGTATACAGAACATTATTCAGACATCTTCCAGCAGCTGCGATTCAACCACCAGACCTACCGGTAATCACATTTGTCTCTCAGATCAGAACGATTGTGTGGCTGGTTATACTCCTGCAGCAGTGTGTTGCAGTGAGCTTGACGCAGAAATTTTTGATTTATGCTCAATATTGAAGCGGGGTCTCTGCTATACACTGTGGGTCTAGATACGGCCGAGGACGTGGGGGCGAGTAGTCAGATAACAGAGGGACATGACGGCGAAAAAGAGAGGAGATCCAGGTGGGAAAAGGGTCCTCGCTCTTCTAGCTGGTCCAACTTCACAAGTTGTTTTCCGCAATTTCGGTCATAAAAACAAAACAAGCCGAACTCCTGTCTGCAGCAGTGTCTGCGCTAAGTATTTGACTTCCCATGCTAATGGCTTGGATTCGTTAGCAAACATTGCCCCCCTGTAGTACTTGTATGTTACTATCACAAGTTGTTGAGGACTGCCCAGAAACATTGTTGGTTCTAATTATAGCTCCGGCCTGTATAAGAATCCGGCCAGTATTTACCTCCGTCGACAGCCAGACAGGCCATTATTAGAGATCCGGCTGCTAATGGAATACAGGCCAATATTAGAGGATTTACGGTACTTTAAAATACCACTTTCATGGCAAAACTTCCATGTGCTGCAATGTTCCAAAGTTAAATGGGTTCTCAAGGCTGTTTTAGAAATATCCACATAAAATGTAAACATTAAATCATTTCTTTCTATCGTCATCCTGGCTGTGATTAAAAATTCTTCTTCTGTTGAGCATAAAACATTTGACATCTTGACCTTAATGTAGAGTCCTTTAATCCCTGCAGCAATACATTTTATGAGGTTTTGACCCCGCACCTTTATCTAAAGATTGTAAAGCCAGATTTACAGCAGCACAGGGTCTACGGTCAGAATTAGAGTAGAAACAACTGTAACCTCGCTTTGCTTTTTATTCATTGGAATGTGTTATGCAATCTTCTATTTCCTACCAGAATGACATATTATTTAAGCAGTCTTTAAATTTAAATATGCGGAAAATTCTGGTAAATGATTTAAACGCCTGTTTTAGGTGGATATTCTCTACACAGACAAGCCTGATCACAGTTTATGTTAGATTACATGATTGAACAGTTCTAAAAGCCTGAAAATACAAATTCTCAGAAAGTAATTTGTCTTTTTGATTGGATGAGTCTGGCTTTTCCTGTTATTTATTCCATATTTGTCTGGGTATGCCCTTTGTGCAGCTGCGTTCAATCTTTTTGATTCCAACATGACTATTTTCCACTGAGAAGGAGAAATGTATCACTTTTATTTGCAGCAGCATTGATCGATTCATCTGTGTCCTCAGTGATCTAGCTTGTTCTCTGCACGCTGTTGCAATGCGGCTCTCATCAGGTGAAAACTGCCTCCTCCACAGTTTCAATATGCAAATACAAGAAACCCTTGTCTCCAGCAGCCGCCTCCCCCTCAGTGTGAAGGATTAAATATTCATGATCTGTGATTATAGTGCATCACACTGAAAGGATATTCAGAAGCGAGCCTTCAGTGCCATATTGCTTTTAAATGGTCATGTTGAGGGTCCTGTCAGCGGATTAGTGGCTTCTAGGGATTATTTAGGGGACACATTAACAGCGGATTTTCTGTTTGTGTCAGAATTGGAGAATAGTGTTGAAAGCAGAGCATATGGTGCTTATTTTAAAGTGGTTGGATTAGGAGTTATGGTTCCCCCGGATCCCACCAGCATCTATTATTGACGTTATAGAGTATATGATAGCCACTCAGCCTGTATTTATTTATAGAAATCTTTGTTTTTCTGTTTGTCTTTATTATGTCTGAGAGTATGACACCCATTTATGTCTGTACAGGTTTTTGTTCATATTCTCAATTTGCTTATTCATTTTTTTGATACTTGAACGTTTGTTTGGCGTGTGGAAGAAAGTAAAGTCGGTGTATCTATCTGTTCATCTATGCTTGTTCTAATGGGTAACCTTGATGCTTCTCTTTGATTGAGGTGTTAGAGTATTGTATAAAATGAGTAGGATGTGTTGATAAAAGGTAGAGCCGTTACAAAGCTACTTTAACTTGCATGAATGATCCATTTTGCTCTTGGTGGGGTTTTTTTAACAGCAGTAAATACAAATGGCGTGCACTGTTCAATGACTTGAAAAATACTACTGTCAGAAGTAAATATTTGGTCAAAGTTCTGAAATCTATAAATACATTGTACACTTTACTTAGCTTTCATTTTAGCAGGATAAAAGCTGAATTTCAGTTTTAACTCAAATCTGTTTATATTAAATTCATGCTTAACGTTTACTACTTTTATTTTGTGAGCATACCATATACAGTTGTGGTCAAAAGTGTACCTACACTTGTAAAAAATCATAACGTTATGGCTGTCTTGAGTCTTCAATAAGTTCTACAACTCTTATTTTTCTGTGATAGAGTGATTGGAACACATACATGTTTGTCACAAAAAACAGTCATAAAGTTTGGTTCTTTCATAAATTTATTATGGGTCTGCTGAAAATGTCACCAAATCTGCAGGGTCAAAAATATACATACAGCAACATTAGTATTTGGTTACATGTCCCTTGGCCATTTTCACGGCAACTAGGCGCTTTTGGTAGCCATCCACAAGGTCCTGGCAAGCTTCAGGTCGAATGTTTGACCACTCTTCTTGACAGAATTGGTGCAGTTCAGCTAAATGTGATGGTTTTCTTGCATGAACCTGTTTCTTTAGCACTGTCCACATGTTCTCAATGGGGTTTAAGTCAGGACTTTGGGAAGGCCATTCTAAAACCTTAAATCTAGCCTGGTTTAGCCATTCCTTTACCACTTTTGATGTGTGTTTTGGGTCATTGTCTTGTTGGAACACCCAACTGCGCCCAAGACCCAACCTTCGGGCTGATGGTTTTAAGTTTTCCTGCAGAATTTGGAGGTAATCCTCCTTCTTCATTATCCCATTTACTTTCTGCAAAGAACCAGTTCCACTGGCAGCAAAACATCCCCAGAGCATAATACTACCACCACCATGCTTGACAGTAGGCATGATGTTCCTGGGATTAAAGGCCACACCTTTTCTCCTCCAAACATATTGCTGGGTGTTGTGGCCAAACAGCTCAATTTTTGTTTCGTCTGACCAGAGAACTTTCCTCCAGAAGGTTTTATCTTTGTCCATGTGATCAGCAGCAAACTTCAGCCGAGTCTTAAGGTGCCTTTTCTGGAGCAAGGGCTTCTTTCTTGCACGGCAGCCTCTCAGTCCATGCCGATGTAAAACACGCTTGACTGTGGAGACTGACACCTGTGTTCCATCAGCTTCCAAATCCTTGCAGACCTGCTTCTTGGTGATTCTTGGTTGACTCTTGACCATCCTGACCAATCTCCTCTCAGCAGCATGTGATAGCTTGCGTTTTCTTCCTGATCGTGGCAGTGACACAACTGTTCCATGCACTTTATACTTGCGTATAATTGTCTGCACAGTTGCTCTTGGGACCTGTAGCTGCTTTGAAATGGCTCCAAGTGACTTCCCTCACTTGTTCAAGTCAATAATTCGCTTTTTCAGATCCACACTGAGTTCCTTTGACTTTCCCATTGTAGCTTTTGTAGCTGAGTCTAATCACTGGGTCAAATGAGCCCTATTTAAATGGGCTCATGAGAAGTCAACAGCTGTAGTCAATCAGAATCACTTAGAAGAAGTGAAGAGGCCATGACATGAAGCTAATTTGATTGACACAACTCGCTCCATCACCAAAGTTGACAAATTTTGTTGCTGTATGTATATTTTTGACCCAGCAGATTTGGTGACATTTTCAGCAGACCCATAATAAATTTATGAAAGAACCAAATTTTATGACTGTTTTTTGTGACAAACATGTATGTGTTCCGATCACTCTATCACAGAAAATTAAGAGTTGTAGAACTTATTGAAGACTCAAGACAGCCATAACATTATGATTTTTTACAAGTGTAGGTACACTTTTGACCACAACTGTATATATATATATATATATATATATATATATATATATATATATATATATATATATATATATATAGCTCCTAACAATTTTGGCATTTTTGGTTAGCCAAATTCAGAGTTATTAAAACATGGAGTGTATAGATTTTGATGGTCCACCCAAGTGGCTGGAGACAATTTCACCACATAGTGAGTGTCTTTTTTTTGTTTTTATCCTGGCCTCATTCCGAGGTGGTTTTTATGTTATAAAACATGAAGATTCTATTTTTTCATTTTAGAAAATAAATTTTTACATAGTTTTGTGATTTCCTAGGTCTAACTGTTTTTTTAAGATTCTGTTGTTTTGTGTTTTTTTTTATCTAATGTATATCTGGAATTCAGCTGGATACACAATTCAATAATCTGATTTGCTCTCAATTACATTTTCTTTTCTTTAATTTTATTTTGCTTCCATCACCATAACCCAAAGACAGTTAATAAACTTCAGACAGGACCATAACCTAAAAAAGAGGGAAAAAACTAATGCTTTTTCCCCCCCTTTTTCTTATTCCATATGATTCTTGTGTATTCAGGTTTGGAGGGGCACTCTCGCTAGAAAGCGATACCGGCGGATGCGTGCTGCCGCCATCATCCTGCGGGCCTATCGACGCTATAAGGTCAAGTCCTACATCCGCGAGATCAACCGTCGCTTTAAAAATGTGCGCTCCATGAAGGACCACGGTAAACATGTGAAGTGGCCAACTCCTCCCAAAGTTCTGCGCAAGTTTGAAGAAGCGGTGAAGAACATCTACAACAGGTATCCATCCAGAGCAGCTACAGAGTGTCGGAACAATAAGCACTGTTTCCTATCCATAGTTTTACCAAAGCTGGCCAACTAATATGTCTCGTTAAAAAATCAGGTCCAATACTTTGAAATTATGATTCTTTACTTTATTGTGCTGCAAAGCAAAATGAATGCAGTATTGGTCCAGTTGGGTTTTAGTCACGTACTAGACTTGTTTTGTATTAGTGCTTGTCCCCCAGACTCCTGAATTTGAAGTGATCCTCTTTGCAACAGTGATTGTAAGGTTATTTTGTGACCTCACAGAGGATGGGTAAGACAATGCAATTAACTCAGGTTTAGGGAGAAGGTAGTTTTCTGAAAATGCTTTTTTTGCACACCAGCTGATTTATCTATGCCTCATAAAGGCTCACACCTTGGATCTGCACTTTATCGCTGTTAGTCTGCAGCAGACCTCATGATGAAACTCCAATCTGAGACATCTTCAAGTTCCTTTATTGCTAGGTGGCTTACATTTACCTGAAGCTACTACAGTATTCAAATAAAGCTTAAATTATAATCTCTAATTACTCACAGAATAAAAGAGAGGCCATGATCATTTTAGAGATGATTCTGAAGGCTTTATTTGTTTTGTTTTTTTCAAGGAAATCTCCCGGTAAACAACACTTCGCCCAGAGTGTTACTAACAACCAGTTGTGTCCGTTTCCAAGCAGCTTACACATTTCCTCTGGCTTCAGGCTCAAGCTGGGCATCGATTTTTATTTCGCCATCAAAGACTCATCTCTGCCTTTCATCCTTTTTTAAGTAGTTTTTTTTTCTTCACCCTAAAGGTGGCCACAGTTAGAAGATAGCCCTCCTGGAGAATTCTGTTGGCTGTCAGGATTTGTGAGTGAATAAAACAGTGAAGCACAGCTGGGGTCTGCTAACCCATCTGCAGCATGAAGGCTTTGAGCAGGGGCCTTAAAGGAGAGACTCTTTCTTTCTCTGATGTTTCGGCTCTTTATGGATACTTCTGGATGTTTCCTTCAGGTGGTGGGCATGGACCAATATTAAAAGCCTCTCTCCGGAGGAGACTCTGCAGCTCAGAGCCAAGATAGCCACTCTGGAGGCCCTGAAGGGACAGAGGGCTGACTTGGGCTTACAGAGAGCCTGGGAGGGAAACTACGTGGTGAGTATGAGGAGGAGAATCGAGATCTTATCTATAAACCACTTTATTTTGGTCTTTTACATAAAATTACATTAAAATACATTTATGTTTTGTTGTTGCTGCTGAAGATTTTCAGTCATCCAGGTCATAGTCATTCCAAAAAAAGTTAAAAAACAATAATAGCGTTGAGTTCGAAGCGGACCAAAAAAAACTAAGCCTTGTTTTGGCTTAGAAAACATGCAAATTGAACCGAACAAACGGGTCCGGCCCTTAAAAATGGGGGTTGTTTGGGTTCTTTGTTTGCCTGTGATACCTGATACCTGTCTTTTACCCCATTTACACAATCCTTGAAAAACCGATCCATGCCGAGACCGGTACGAGCTCGGATCAGTTTACCAGGCCGAGCTCGGTTCTGACGACCGTTTACACATCACGCTATCTCGGTTCCTCGACTCCTCGCCTCCTAGTGACGATCTGCGGTATTACTGCCGGTATTGAAGGAGGAAACCAAGCAGTTGGTGGCGGTAAAGCACCAAAAGTTTGCCAACCGCCATAACACACAAGCAGAAGAAGACGAAGGAGGAGGGAATTAAGCAAATCAAAATGGCGGAGCCCGTCATATTCAGAAAGTTATGCTTGATTATTATTGCTGTACTTCGGTGTTATTATTTAAAATGTTGCGTGGAGAAGATTTCGATTGTTGTTTATAGTTGAAGAAGAAGTTGTTCTTCTTCTTCTTTTTCCGAAGGGGCATTACCGCCAACTACTGGAACGGAGTGTGAATCGGGATGTGCAGCCAGACGGAGATGACGCGTTCTGCTCATGCGCTCTTGTTATCAGAGAACCGAGCCAGGGAAAAACCGAGCCGAGCCCACCTCTGGAACTGGTCTGCCGTTAGCGCGGTCCGGTTGTGTCTAGCTCGGTTCAGTTCAGTTTGCTTTCCATTTACACACGATAAGTTATCTCAGTTACTGAGCTCGGACCGGTTTTTCAAGGGTAGTGTAAATGGGGTAATAGTCTCTGAAAGGGGCGTCGTTAGAGGGAATTGTTGGCCTGGCTGAACCGGCAAGGTTTTCTGTTTCCCTGTAAGGGGGTGGGAGTTGCAATGATAGTGGGAAGGACCCCTTCTTTCAGTTTACATTGCATGTTTTCTAAGCCAAACAAGGCTTTGTTTATTGTCCACTCTATAAAGTCGATGCTATTTCTGATATTTTGAAACGTCTTCAAACTTGGAAATATAGTCCAGTCAGTTTTTTTTTTATCTTGGAAGCTGCTTTACACCAACCTGATCTAAACTCTGCCCTAATGTGAGCTCTAAGATTAGCTTCTAAACGTTTTTCTTTCTCTCTGATTTTTTTGTGTTTGACAGAAGCGTGACAGCCCCGACACGGCGTCGTCCTTCACACTCATTTCCAGCGAACTGCAGCGAAAAGACAAGTTCATGAGAGTTTTGTTCTCCTGCAACGTGAGAAAGGTATAAGGATGTTAAAAATCATTGGCCCTCTGCTCACCACGTTTACTCGCAGCATGTTTGCACGGCTATAAAACCTTCTTCTGGAGAGCATCATTTCCCTCCAGGGTTTAGTGGTTAGCCTGTTTGCCAGCTCATAACATGCGTATCTCCGGGGGATGACTAACGAGGAGCTTTGTGTTTCCCAGATCAACCGTTTTCACAAGGCGGAGGACCGGGCTCTGCTCATCACTGACCGACACCTGTATAAGATGGACCCCATGAAGCAGTACAAACCAATGAAGAGCACCCCCCTCTACAACGTATGATACCCCTCCTGGTTAACAGCCTATTTTTAAAGCACACAAAGGGTAGTAAACAAAGAGCTTTGCAGAAACAGCTCAGTAATGCTGGCGGTTAGAGATGACCTTGCTTGCATTTCTTTTACACTTGCTGAAGATACAAATCTTTTAAAGGGAAATATTTCCAGTTTTATTAGGAGTATTTATATGAACATTTTATATAATAAAGTAGAAAGAAGATATAAACTTTACAGTTATTTTCTATGTTAAACTTAACAAGTGCGGCATACCATTCATCCCCCTGAGTCAGTCCTTTGTAGAACCTGTTTGCTGCATTTACAGCTGCAAGTCTTTCAGTGTACGTCTCTACCAGCTGTGCACATCTCTAACGTATTAGATGGAGGGTTTCCATACGTCATTTTTCAGGTTTTGGCGTGGATTCTTAATCATCACTAATAACTTTAGAAGATATTTTACCTTATATTAGCTATTTCTTGCCACTATGAGTGCTAAATGATACCGTGCCATTTAAGAAGCTTGAGTAAAAATATCCAGTTGCAGATAGCATGGCAGGAATGATCTGTCAGCCCTGAAACTGCCAGATCAGTTCCTCTTTTTGCCCCCAAAATAAATGCTTTGCTATTTAATTTCCCAGAATACTTTACTTATATATAGATATATTTTAAAAAAGCGTAATTTAATCATATGGGTAAGGTAAATCTAAAGTATTGTGATTAGAAACGTAATCGATCTAGACCACTGCAGTCTCTTTGGCAGCGTTGAAAACTCTGATGTCATGGGATATTTACATATTGGATAAGCAGCACATGTGCCCTGCTGTGCTCCTCCACTTGTCCCTGCTCTGGGTCTCTGTTGTTTATCAAAGGGATGAGGTTGGATGCTAGGCTCCACGAAGCAGCAGTTAAAGGAATAAGAGTTTATCAGTAGATTAAGATCAGCAACACATGGATAAAAAAAGACAGAAGACAGAAAAAAAGTTATCTTACTATCTTGCTAGTTTTGATAAGACTTATTTTTAATTTGGCTCCAGCTGAGTCTAATCATAACAGCTTTTTTACTCCCATATGTTATGGCTGATTGTCATACAATAAAGAATCAAAGTCAGATAAATACATTTAACTCCACCTTTTCAGAGATTTTTTTTTTTTTTTTTTCAGGACCTTTGTATAATTTAAAATCAATACTTTTTTTTACATAATTATCATTTAGTAAATTTTTTATACTTTTTTGAGTTTATTTATGTTTATGTATTTATTTATATATTTGTATTATGTATTGACATATATTTATATATATTTATATATATATATATATATATATATGTATATATGTATATATATATATATATGTATATATGTATATGTACTAGCAATCTTTAAAAAAATCTTAATCTTAAAAAATTAAAATCACATAGCCATTTGGAAATTGAAAACAGTGAAAAACGGCCAGTAGTCACATTTGTGGCTACAACGTTGGGACAAAGGATTATTTTATGTAACTTATATTATGCCCTTAAAAACAGTGAAGGTTAAGCCTGAACTTATGTTTTTGGCTTCCTGAGATTATCCTCTTTATTCCCCTTATCTGTTGGTTCAGTGAGTTTTGCATATACAAGTATACACACTCTTAAGCTTGGTCTATACCACAATAGCTTCATTTTACACTACCCTTTTAAGAGCGGTCAGAGCACGGTAACCTAGATAACCGTTGAGTGTAAATGGAACGCAACTGAACGGGACTGTGCCAGAAACAACCAAACCGTGCTAAATCTAGTACAGTAGAGCTCGGCACGTTTCATCTGTGGCTCGGATATCTGATACCAAAGAGTGCATGAGCAGACCGCCTTATCTCCTTATTATAGTCAGCTGACTCATTTCGTGGGTTTTCCAGCATGTCCAGCTTTACATTTCACAGATCTCCTCACCTGTTCACAACAAGAACTTCTTCTCAGCATATTAACAATACATGGCATCAAAAGAGAGTGGTGCGACCTGGGATGATGCCGAGACCGAGGCTCTCTTTGAAATTTGGATGGAGGACGCCATCAAGGCATACAAGTTCCTGAATGTTATGGGTACTGCCATTTTTGGTTGCGTAATTCCAGCACTGAGAGCTGTAGTATCATGAACCACCGATAGGAGGCAAGGAACCGTGCAAGCGTTATGTGTAAATGGTCTTCAGGAACAAAGCTCGGTCTAAAACTCGGCACGGATCGGTTTCACAGGGGTCGTGTAAATGGTGCAATAGTTTCCTTTTTAAAAGCAATTGATTAAAAACAGTATAAATCAAAGAACCAAATACTATGGTCATGTAAATATTCTCACTGTAAGATTTCATGGTCATCATTTAGTGTGAGATGGCGGCATTCAGCAGGTGAAGATCAAAGGGACTTACTTTTTTTTTAAATCATATTTTCATTAACAAAACCATAGTCTCTAACAGGCCTTGATACAAGTTTATTGAGTCTCAACAAAACAACGCAAAGCCATAAAGATTAGATTCCAAACCCAATACTGGGGGACAAAAAAGAGGTCAATATTGGTCTTGATCTCGAGATCTCATCCCTGATTCAAATACTTGACATTTAAAAAGATACGTTTTTGCTCAAAGTACAATCTAAAAGAGCAACCTTCAGCTTTACTGGTAGTTGATGTTTACTTGGTGGAAAGAAGAAAAGAAAAGCACAAGTTTTATCCTCTGCTGTGACATAAATGCTTCTTGTACCTTTTTTTTTTCTTCAACACTGACCTGGAGGTCGGCAAGAAAATTGCTGCAGAGAGGAAATATGTTAGACCTTATTCTGTGGGGCGGAGGCAGACCCCCGTCGCCTGCTGGAATAAGTGATATGAGGACGTTATGTCCTGACAGCTGTGAAGAGACACCACACTGTTCAGTCTGACAAAATGACAAGAAGGAATTACAGAGCTGGAAAGTGGAAACCCGATTCCTTTATCAGCGTATCTGGAGGAAGGATGCTGGGATTGAGTTCAGACAGATGGTGTCAGAAATGACGAGACGCAGGAGTTAACAAGGTTTTTGGTTATTGTTCATTCAGGAACAAACTGTCACAAATAGAGACTCTGAACTCGGCCTACATGCAGAAGGCGTACTATTACTGACATGGCCTGAGTGACAACATACAAGCAGAAAATATTCAGAAAGGTTTGACCTGAGTCTACATTTTTTACTTGCAAAGTCTACAGAAATAAAAAAGCAAAAGAAAAAACAAACACCAACCAGCAGATCAATTTATTCTGAAAACCAAAACTAAAATATCTCTTTTAAGCCGGAGCGCTTCATTATTGAATGTTTGTTTTAGTTGTTGTTAATTAATAAATACTTTCAGTAAAATAAGTCAAAGTTCAAATTCCTGCCAGCAGTACACTTTTCTTAATACATACTTCAGCAATAAAGGTCCATTCAAGCCAAGCAGGACTGGCTCTTCCTTTTAAAGCAGGCAGTGGTGGGATGTGATGGACGGCTACTGGTTCCAGTGTCATTTTAAACCACCTAATGAGTTTAACTTCCAGTCTTTCTGTGTATCATGTCAGAGCATCAGTTTTAGCTCCAGAAAGCTGTGACTACTCTAGCAGCAACTTTTCCAGTGCTACAATAAAAAAAAAAATACTTTAATCAGTTCAAATGTTGAAGGCATCATTAGAATCAGTCTGTTAGTCTTTCTGAAGTTACTCAAAAGAAAACTTTAAGCTGCCGCAGCAAGTTAAAGTTGAACAAACAGGAAGAACATCAACTCAGACTGAAATTCTGACATTTCTTTCAATCCAACACAGAAATGTTTCCTTTGAATCTATCCCAAGAACTAACTAACTTTTTGTCCATTTTAGTTCACAAGAATCATGAAAGATCCTCAGTTATCCTTTACATTACATAAACGGGTACACAATTCTCATAAAACCAAGAGAAAATAAACAAATTGAGATTTAAATGTTAGGATATGCAAACCCACAATATTTATTATGTATTTATATTTATTATCAAGTCAGAGTTAAAACCCAGATCTCAGAGATTTGGACGAACAAATGGGGTCATCAACAGTTGAGTCTTAAAAACTGCAAACGTGAAGAGAGAGGCTTTTCTTATAATGAAATTTACATTTCTGTGCAACATTCTGAAAATATAGATCCTTACTTCAAACTTAAAACATAGAGAACAAGAATATTCTTTTGGTTTTGTTCATCCTCTTTGTTCAGACAGAATAACAGTTAAATGTATATAACAGATAGTTCATGGAACTGGTTAGAAATTGGAACCGTTTGTCCTCTAAATGGCTCACAGATGACTCCTATAAAGCGGTGACATTTAAATCCCTTGAATCAAGTTGCTACATCATTGCCTTTGTGTAAACAAAGCACCCCAACATCCTCCATAGCAATAAAAGTCGAGCTGTAGGGGTAAGGGAGTCGGTCAAGGTGAAAAAGTGCTGATGAGGGACAGACTGGAAAGGTGTGCCAGTAAGAATATTAGATAGAGATGTAGGCTGGGAGCTGCTGCAGCTCGGCGTTGAGCTATCGATCAGAAAAGGTCAAATAAAGGGGAAAGCAGTTAGCTGGTTGTTGATTAGCACTGATAGGCCAACAGCACAGTATCCCCTTGGCTGCCCTGCAGCGAGTATTTACTGCTGCTCCTGAGGGGCAAAGTGGAGACATTTCTGTGCTAAAAGAGGGTAATAAGGATGTAAGTAACCAACAGCTGTCTGCTTAATCATTAATATTCCTGTGAAAACCTGTTGGATGAGATTAAACATATAGTAAAGAAGAATGATCCCCAACAAATCAGCAGTTATTGTTGTATCTTTACAACATCTTATCATGTTCCCCTTTATTATTATTATTATTATTTCCTATCTCCCATCAACCTCTTCTTTCTAAGCTCCCCATCTAATCCAGAACCCCCCCTCCTGTCTCACTGCTGTCTTTCCGTTGTTGTCATGCCAACTTCCCAGGAGACGGTGTAGTCATGGTTACAGAGCACAGAGAGCATCAGCTGATGTCTAATGTTGCTCATGTATGTGTAATAATCGGACTCCCGTAAGCCCGTGCTTTCACTTGTTTTTTTGTTTGGTTTTTTTTTGTTAAAGTTTTTTGCTCCAAAAAATCCTAAACTGCAATGTAATTATTGATATAAATTTAATTAACTGTTATTTTGAAAAATCTGTTATTATTTATTGTTATTTTGAAATGACTCACTACAGACGTAGCTGCATGCAGCAGGCCTAACAATTGAATCCTTCCTTTGCAGAAGCCATTTCCAGAGCCTTGTGTTCTCACCAAACGTACCACTATCTCTGGTGCTGTCAGTTTTGCGGCATAAACAGCCGCAAGTCTCCTTCATTATATTAAAATAAACTAATTAGTGATCTTTCTTCTGCTTTGGACTACCAGCTTCCGTAATCATTACATAAGCAGAAAGGTTAATCTGGGCAAACCTGCCTTTCAAATGATGTCCTTGTGACATCCATGAAGCAGAGCGGTCGCTTTTTAAAAGAGCTGTTCAGGTTTTCATGGTTGTTGATAGTAAGCGTTTTTCTCCTGATTTAAAAAGTACTAAAATAATTTAGATATAAAAGTTGTAATTGAAGCCATTCATTAAAACCTCTTATTGAGTTTTTTTACATTTAGTGATGGTTAGGAGGGATGTCGTATAGGACAATTTTCTTTAATAAAACTGGCAATGGCACGGTTATTCATAAACAGATCGTACAAACTAAATGAAACTAAAGAATTTAAAAGAGATAAAAGCTGTGTGAACAACAAGGCTAGATTGAAGGTTTATGTATTCATTATGCTTTGAGGAGGATAATTTGAAAGATAAAATATTTTTAGGGCTAACTCTTTGAAGGTGCAGGAAATTGTTTAATATTACGGTCCAGAAGTTTCCATGAAAAGCAGGCGCCATCTACTTACTAACTAGCCGTCTGGTAGGTTTTCCTGTCCTACCATAACAGAGGTTGGAATGTGTAGGATCTTTATCTTAGGGGAGTGTAACCTAGTGGTTAGGGCATTGCTCTTGGAATCACAAGGTTCTGAATTCGAGCCCCACTCCCACAGGCTGCCACTCTGGGTCCCTGAGCAACAGACCCTTAAGGGCTGGTTATACTCCAGCAGCAGTGTGTCGCAGTGAGCTTGTTGCAGATATTTTTGATGTATGCACAATTTTGAAGTGTGGTCTGCGCTGTGTTATTCCATGCCACAACGCAAGAGGGACGATCACGAACCAGCTGTGGGTCTAGATACGGCCGAGGCAGTGAGGAAGTGGGGGCAAGTTAGTGCGACAACGGAGGGACACAAGGCCGAAAAAGATTGGGGATCCAAGTGGAAAAATGGTCCCAACCTCGCTCTTCTAGCTGGTACAACTTCACGATTTCCACAATGGCGGTGGTACAAACAAAACAAGCCAGTAAGGTACCAAACAGGAAATATACGTAGTGTAGAGCAGATGTAGATTTGACCAATCAGAGGCCTCCTGTCTTCAGTCACCTACAATTTTGGAGAAGTGCAGCAGAGTGTCTGCAGACACTCGGGGGCACATTTGCATTCACTGCGACACATGCAAACGACCCGGTTTCTGAGTATAAATCACCCCACACTGTTCCCCGGGCGCCGCTCATCGGCAGCCCACTGCTGCCTATAAGGGTGTGCAAAATAATCGTCATGACGATGCATCGCGATTCTAATTTTTGTGATCTACTGCATCGATTCTTAAAGGCAAGAATCGATTATAAAAAATAAAAAAAAATGAACAAATAAAATACATTAATGGTTGGCGCACATCAGCCAAACCAAGTGTAATACAACTTCCAGTCCAGCAGATGTCGCTGTGGATGTGTTGATGCCCGCCGCTTTGTGTCACAAGCATTTCCGGCCGTGGGATACTGCGACGAGTCATATGAAATAAAACATGGAGGACACTAAGAAAATTCGCCCCGCGGCTCCATCACATTTCAAGTGAAAATATCACAATGCATCGCAATATTTCAAGTATCATGATGCATCATGAATGAATCGCATCGTGGCATGTGAATCGTGATTCGAATTGTGACTTCTTTGCCAATACCCACCCCTAGCTGCCTAAGGGAACGGGTTGAATGCAGAGAGTTCATTTTGTCGCTTTGTACTTCTGACAGTGTAATGACAATAAAAGCTGGAAAACTTTTTTTTGTAGGGTGAGCTTCCCTGGAACACTCTGGGTGGGTTTCTTGTGAAATACAGGGTGAATATTTGGAAAAGTACCTCATGCTGACTGTTGACTATTATGGAGGATCTGTCTTGCTTTGGATCTTTTTCCTCTTCCAGTTTCCTTGGAAACCCTTTTAGAGCTCTGATGATAGTTTTAGAAGAAAAACAAGAATTGAACAGGATCTTTGTCATCAGAACAGATACATCAGAAACAGACGGCGTGAGTGTCGTACCTTATGTTTAGCTTTTTGTTTGGCAGAGTAAAGTAGGTTATGTTGAGTTTTTTCTTTGTCTGATTCTGTTTATCACACTCTGCTGAGGATTTACACTAAATAGAAATAAACTGATGTTCAAGGTAGAAAACCTCTTAGTGGAGTCAGACAGCATTTGAAAATTTTGTTTGGTTATTAGGTCTATTGCTGATTAAATAGTTAAGCCTGGAAATAGCTTTTGTGAATCTAAATGAGACCAGGAAATGAATACTAATGGTTCACCGTTAAACTCATTAGAACCAAAATTGTCATTCCGATTAATTGGACCTTTTTTTTTTATAAAACTGCAGATGTGACAAAATTGTTGTGATTAAGTGATAATTGGATAGAGAAGCCGGGCTCCTGGCGTTGGATAATGTTTATTTTAGATAGTTTTTTCTTTGGAGTCAGATCCTTGTGATTATGGTATGGACCTGTTCCTGCCTGTCTTCCTCTGATGGAGAACATGTCCTGCAGCACTAAATTCTGTTGATGGATGGTAATGTACCTGACTTGCTGCCCTGTGGCTATTTCCTTTACACTCATCCCCTGTAGATCACCTTACATAGATGGATGAAGAGTGTAATGAATTCATGAGGAGACAAAGCAGATAAAAAAGGGATAGAATACGAGAAACGGAGATAAAAGCGCTCAGAGCAGAGGCAGGGGACTTAATAAAACGTAGATATCGGCTTCTTCCTGTAGTTTCTACAACACCTCCTTTAACTTGGCTTCTCTCCACTGTTTATGGTTTCTAATTAGAGAAAAAAGATGGGTCCTTTGGGGTTTTAATCAATAAATCTATACCTTCACATGCGGACTGTTTTTTAGGTAAAACTTTCACATTCATTATCAGACAACAAACCTACATCTTAAGTGATAATTATGCATGTTGAAACTGAACTAATACTTCAGGCTTTGTGTTTTTTCTTTGTTGCATCGAAGCAGTATTTCAGATTCAATGTTGTGCAGAAACAGAAAATAATCTAAATTATAATAAGGTTGTTATGAATGATGAATTGTTAATGTAGAAAACTACAAATATGTTCTTTAGCATTTAGGACAGAGGTTGTTACTTTATAAAAATACATTTTCATTGCTCTTTATAAAACATAAAAACTCTGTTTTAATTCAGTAATTAGACTTTAAAACAGTTAATGTAAAGATAATGTTTAAAACGATCACTAAATGATTAAAAAAATAACTTCATCCCTTGTGGAACTTTGATTTACAACAATTGAAAAGGTACTTTTTAACTTATTAAATCCATATATAAGAAATAATTCTAATTTTGAAAATATGAATAGAAAAAATCTACGTTAGCAAAGAAGAGAAATCATGAAAATAAAATGACAGATGAGATTTAGCTGATATTTTATTATTATAAGTTACTGAAAGATCCAATAAATTCGTTTGATTAATTAAAAATAAATTTAGGTAATTTTGATTTGTTTGTATTAATAGCTGTCTGGTGCATAATCCTCTTCCTGAGCTTCACATCTCTTTCCAATCATTTTCTTTATTATGTCAGTGATTGAGAGACCTTAACACAGATATACTAAAGAAAGATCATTAACTCTGAAGGTTTATTTAGAACAAACAGCTTTTCTAGGATGGATGTTTTCAGATGGTGAAAGAAACCAGACTGCAAAGAGAAAATCCCCTCATTTGTACTTCGCTCAGAACAGATCTAGCCAAGGATTTAACTTCCCACTGACTGCCTGCAAGGCAACTGTCCCAATAACTGCCTCATCTTGCAGCCCGCCCCATTTGAATGAATGAATGAATCTGTAATTCTTTGTTTTTTCCGCCTCTTGTGGTTTTCACGCTGTAAAAAATCTAAATCTAGATAAGTAATTTTTTCTTCAAAGAAGTGCATTTGTTCTTAGTTTGAGAAGGTAAAAGAGACTTTTTGCCAATGGAACAAGGAAATTTACATTTAAAATAAGAAAACACAATTATATTGTCTTATTTCCAGTGCATTTTATCTAAATATATTATTTTAAGAAAAAAAAAATACTCATTCCATTGGCAAATCCTTTCATTTACCTACTCAAATAAAGGGTAAATACACTTAATTTAAGACATTTTTACTTACTTCTAGATCGTTCTTCCAGTGTGTGTTCGTTGCTCCGTTATCTCTGGATAGATTTATAATCTTAAGCACATTTCTTTAAATTTCTTTGATGTATTCAAACTGTTAATTTTCTGTCATTTTTGTTATTTTTTATGGTCTAGATTTCTGTATTTATTCTCCCTATGTCTTATTCTAAGTTTTGCCTTGTATGTTGCAGGTCACAGGACTGAGTGTGTCCCCTGGGAAGGATCAGCTGGTCGTGTTTCACACCAAGGACAACCGGGATCTCATAGTGTGCCTGCAGGGCATGGTGCCTGCCAATGAGAGCCGCATCGGGGAGCTGGTTGGCACCCTGCTCAGTCATTTCAAGAGGTTAGTAATTGTACGTGGCAGAGTGGTTACAAGTGGGTAAAAAGCAGGATTCAATTATTGTGTCCTAAAATAAAAAAAGAAAAGAAAAAAATCTTGTGGGTGACAGCAGGTCAAGCTAGATGTTTATTCTCATCTCTCACTGCACAACATTAAGCTCACTGTCCCTATTTAAACCTAATTTAACTTGATTGGCAGCAGCAATGCAGCAGGAGCTTTGGCTCACAAACTTAAAGCATTCTCTGTTTGTTCCCCAAATGATAGTGAGTAGTGTTGTGGCTCGTGTGTGATGTTGACTGAGGTGACCTCGGCGGCAGGATTATGGGGCAGGGAGAGGACACAGTCACAGCTGTCCTCTGTTAGACTGTAATGTTCACTTTACGCGCGCTCTGACTGCTCTGTTCAGGACACCAGTATAAACAGGATGGATTTAATTATTGTCTTTAGCTGAAGGGAGAAGTAAACAATCATATTTTCATCCCTATTAAAGGAGTTGTCATAGTAACAGATTTGACAGTTAAGGATGCAAGATACCTGCATTGAAGCATTCCTCCTTTGAAGAAAAGCATGCCTCTAGCATGATGCTGACACCAGCATGTTTCATTATAGGGAAACTGTAATCCCTCCATGCATACAGCTCCGCGCGTTTTCCCTTGACTTCCATAAAGGCCATTTGTGGATGGAGTGCATGGCTTATAGCTCTGCTGTTGGCTTACGATTAGAGCTGAGCTGTGGATCTTTGCGAAGGACTTACAGCGAGCCTACTGGCTGCTTTTCTTAGAATCGTAGCATCGTATTAACAGATGTGATCAGTCGACCCTGCTCCCACATGTTTCTGCTTGCATCCATTTTCTATAAAACCTTCTACTTATATCTGTGTTTTTCAACACTTTTGCTGCCTTTGAGTCATGCTCATGAAACAAAAACATATTCATCTCGAAAACAAGTACAAATTCAATTTGACAATGAAGCTGATACCCATGGAGACACGATGCATCTGCTCTAATATCTAAATTGGCCGATTTTGGTAATTTTTGAACATATGAGTGTCTGATAACTAAAACTGATGTTTTTCTGATAAGCAATGGTTTTTGTTTTAGCAGGGGGATGGTTAATGTTGTATTTGTTTAGTCAGGTTAGTCCTGTCATGATAGCAAATGTAGCTATAATATAAAACTCTCCCAGAAATGTTTGTGATAAACGATAATATTGTCCTTTAGTTTTAATCCAAAGTGCTCCCACAATGCAGCTGTCGTGTTCGGCTTTAAACCGACGCCGGCTTTACTCTGGCTTGCTCCTCCTCAGTCAGAAGTCTCCCATGCTACGTTAATGAAGCTGAAAGGGGAGGGCAGAGACCAATTTACTGGAGTAAAGCCTAAATCTATAGTAGAAAGAGGGAAATGTGAGGAAAAAATCTGTCATATAATTAATTACTATCATGCGATTGGTTGATTTAGTGTTTATTGTGACAGGCCTAGGTCAGTCACTGATACAGCTGAGGATTGTGGGTGTTTAACGGAGGCAAATCAACCATGTCAGGTTGGCTTTTTCTGGTCTCCAAAGGGTGGGAATTATATTATTTTTTACTGAGACTCTCCGGTCTGTTTAAGACCTATCAAAGCGCAAGAGGCAGGAGTTTACAACTGTGCCAGAATTACCCATAATGCAACACCCTTTTTCTGTAATAGCAGTCAAGATTGCAGAATGCACTGAAGCTGTGTTTTAATGTTGACTTATTATTATTTCCCGATGAGCTGGATATATCTTAAACATTTGAGCAACTAGCTTCTGTAAGAGCTTTGATTTTTTTTTTAAAGGACGTTCTCGCATCCTTAGTTATCTGATTGGGTTTAACCTGTAAAAACCAAAAAAAAAGGGTTATAAGAGGGCCTCCCACAGACTACATTTAATATATTAATAATGCTGATAGATAATGTAAAATTTGACCAATATTTCACATTGGTTGCTTTCTCATGGTTCAGTTAAACCAGAGGATTTCCATGGTTGGATGAAAAATATGACTTATGTTACCATATTTATTCACTTTGTTCTTGTGTGAATGGTTACAAAATGGTGAAAAGACAAAAACAAAACTGGATTACGAATGGAATTTATGCTCCTAGATTGTTTGCAGATTGAATAATTTAGTTTTTATGTAAACAGGGACAGCTGTGTGTTTAACTTAATGAAAAGCCTTCTATATAATATCAGGTGACCTTTCAGTCGTTTCTTTGCAGAACAGATAAGTTCTCTGACCTGACCGAACTTTATCCCTGCTTTAACTCAGAGCTTTATTATATTATTGAGACTGAATTTAAGAAAAAGCTGATTTAAAGTCATTTGAAGTCTCCTTACAGTAGCCTTGGTATTCGACACAGTATGATCTCATTTAGACATTAGCACTAATAGAAAGGAAGCAGGATTGGATTGTAGAGTTAGCTGTAATCAGCAGAACCTCAATCATGAGCAAAACTGTTTTTAAATATCTCTCTAAACGGTTCTGGAATGTTTTTTATCCTGTTATATTGAAAAAATTTAATTAAAATCTTCACTTCATCCACATTTAAAAGTTTCAAACAAAAAAACAGACCCACTGTCATTGTAAAAAAAAAACTATATTTCAACTCTATAAATAAAAAAGTTTATAGTTTAGAAACAATGAATAACCTTTAAAACTTTAAACAAACTAACAAGAAAAATTAGATCCAAATATTTTTATAGTAAATTTAACAAGACACACTAATTGAATTAATAGACGGATAACAGTCCACTTTTGGATCATTCCTTTTCCACCAATTTGGAGATCAGACTCTAATGACTGACAGGTCAGTCTTTCTAACAGCTCTAGCTTTAATTTACCCCAAAGGTGTCGCCTGTCTGATGAGGTCAGGACTCCCTGCGCATTAGGTCAAATTCCCTCACATCAGACTTTCTCACCCATGTCATCATTATCCTGGACCTTTGCTTTGTCCTTTTGGAACAGGAAGGGAGCACCCCCAAGCTGCTCCCACAGATTTATGAGCATAAAATTACAGAAAATGTTTTTTTTTTTTTTTTCTTCTCAATAAATAATTGAAGTTACCTTTAATTTAAAAATAAGGGTTTCAAGCAAAACCCTTTCTTATATCCTCTCAGGTTTTAAACGTGACATATTCAGGGTTCCAGCAGGTCCTTAAAAAGTCTTAAAAGGCATTGAATTCTTCAAAAATAAAATGAAGGCCTTAATTGGTATTAAAATGTCTTAAATCAGTTTTTCGTAGGTCTTAATTTTTAAAACATCATAAATAGGATTATTTTTATTAAGATTTATTTTGTAATCTAAATAAAACATTAAAATTGAAATTTTTTTTTTCTTTTTATAAAAAAAAATAATGGCTCGCCATTATTGCTTCCGTCCCAATAGCGGAACCAATAAAATCGTTGTTGCGGCCGGGACATTTGGGAGATGCACCATTAACTTTTTGTCTGAAAAATATGAGCAAGTCTAAATGTAACGAAAATTGGTTATCCAGCCAAGAGTTTTCTCCATGGATAAAACCAGGGAACATACATGAGCCACAGTGGATTTTGTGCAAGAAGCGATTCAAGCTCAGAACGATGGGAATTAAGGCAGTCGCACATGCGAAGCACGAAACACAAAGCGTCAAAATCGAGTAACCGAGAAACAGCCGGTATTTCTCAGTTTAGTTCCACCCTTGTCTCTGTAGCGCCTCCACTTATCACCAAATCAAACATACTAAGAAAACGATACAAAGAAAAATAGCTGCAAAAAAGACTTAGCACTGGTTATGTTGTGGCTTTAAAACTGATTTGTTTTGTTCCCTGCTAAAACAAAGTTTATGAATTCAGTTAAATAATAGTTAAAATATATCTGTCATTTGTGTGTTTTTAGCTTTCTTCCTGTATGGGAAGCTTTTCAAAATTTGAAACATTAGTGCAGTGGTTTATGTTAGAATAAACCTTTGGGTTAAGTTGTCGCAAGCAGGTTTTTCTTGTGTTTCTTGTGAATTTGGTCTTAAATTTATATTTCCAGTGACATTAAAAAGCCTTAAAAAGTCTTGAATTTAACTTGCCTTATGCTGTAGGAACCCTGATATTTTTTTGGTCTGACAGCTGCTGCTCTACTGGTTAATGCTAACTAAACCTATTGGATTACTAGAAATTAACTATTTTCACACTGTTTTTAAGCCTTTCTGACGACCACCATAAGTTTTGAGGTCTTAAGTTTTTGACCATAGAGAAAGTTGCTGACCTTTTAGATTTTGAGCTCTGCATCTACTGACTCTGCTCTTTAACATGACCTTCGACTTCACGGCTGAGCTGCTGTCTTTTTTTTTTAAACCACTTACTCTTGTAATAACGCCACTAAAAGTTGAAAATAGATTTTACTTGTTAAGACATTTTATGAGGGGACTTAAAGCAAAGCTGGCATCCTATCAAGGTACAACAGTAATTCACAGAGCTCCTGACTCATGCAATATTTAGAGCCGGTAGCTAAATACTTACCAGGATGCCAGTAACCGGCACAGGTCTGATTTTCATTTGCTGTTGCGATTGTTTAACATTTTTCAGGGTACCCTGTTAGAAGCATGTTTGTTACCTGTGGTTGTGTGTGGTGCCCAGTCTGTGTGTGAGCATTCTCCATCCTTGCCGCTGTGTGATGGTATCTTTCTGTTATGGAGCTTATTTCTCTGTCGGTGCCGGGGATGAGGGAGCCCGGTGTAATGACCCTCTATGTGTTTCACTCTGGGGCTCATCCATCACCGTGAAGCTCTGACAGAACAAAGACAACACCATTGTGTGGAGAGCACTGGTGTGTGTGTCGTTTATCTTTGCGTTTTTCTGCCTTTGGGGGAATCCTGTAAGTCAGTCTGCAGATGATTACTTAGATGTTTAATACTGTGGGTTGTTCTTAATGCTGTCCTGCCGCTGCAGCTCCTCGTATATGTGGCATTAACCTTTATCTCTCCTTCAACATGCTCCACAGAAAGCCATATGCATAA